GAGAGTGCAAAAGAGGAGAATGGGGGTCAGCAAGAAGGAAGGGCCCTTTGCCCACCCTGGGCCAAGGTGGGGCAAGGGGAGAAGAGATCCCAGCAGCAGGCTCAGTGGCAACTAGGCTGGGAAAGTGAAACCAACCCCATCCCCACTCCACACACTAGTGGGGGGGGAAAGAGGAGGGGAAGCCAAGCCAACCGAGCAGGGAGAGTGCAAAAGAGGAGAATGGGGGTCAGCAAGAAGGAAGGGCCCTTTGCCCACCCTGGGCCAAGGTGGGGGAAGGGGGGCTGGATGGGGTGGGGGGCTGAGCAGGAGAACAAACCTGCAGAGCAGAGCCCCTGGAGCCAGATGCAGGGGAGGGGGCTGAGCAGGAGAAGAAACCAGCAGAGCAGAGCTAGCAAACCTCCTGGAGCCAGTGAGATGAATGGAATTGCAGGCTGCAAAACAGCAGGGAGAGCCTTGTGACCAGAGCTTCACAGGTGATTAATCAGCCCCATCCAGTCAGTCAGCTCCCTGCACAGAGCCCTAAGCCGCTGACTGGGAGCCCCGATGAACCACCTGTGAAGCTTTACTGCCCCACAGCTTAGAGGGAACCTGCTCCTGACTGTAACTGGAGCCTTGTGTCTGTGCCATGCAGGTTCAGGGGCGGGTTGCTGAGGAGGGTCCCTGCTCCTCTGCCTTCCCAGCCACCCTGCAACCTGCCTGAACCACAGCAACCTCACATGGCAGTTGGGGGCAGGGAGGGGCAAGGCCAGCACAGCCCCAGCTTTGGGTAGGCTGTGCCTTGTTTTGCCTTACAACCCAGTTGCCCGTGGGGGAGCCCACGCAGGTGAGGGGTGGGGTATTTTTTGTTTCTCACTTGTGTGCAGCCCACAACTGACTTTTTCTGTGGGTGAGTGGCCACAACCCAAAAAAGGTTCCCTACCCTGTTCTAGGTGGAGGATGGTGGCCCAGAATGAGGTGGAGCTGTGGGACCCCACTGTCATGTTGCACCTCAGACACCAGATTGCTTTCATCCGGCTTCATTCTTTGCCTAGGAAAAATATTTTCCCTCCCACTGCCCAGTCTCTGGCTATGTTCAAAACCTAGATGTTGGCAGTTTGAGAAGAGAGTGGTGGAGAGGAACAGAGGGATGAAATTCATCAGACCCCATCAGGACACAAAGTGCCACCAACACAAGATTAGGAGACAGCACTGAAACCCCAAACCCAAAAGGCTTCCTCAGTACAAGGGAGATATTCTGAAAAAACTGCTCACCTGAAATGAGGGGCTTCTCCCTGAAAAGGAGTGAGACTTGGCAGGCATTGTGTGAAGTATCTGTGCTTGAGTCAAGCAGCAGCAGTGGCAGTCTGGTGGAGTAAAGGGGAGAGGAATAATAGAGCAGTCATGTAATCTCTGCCCAGCAGGATTTCCAAATATTTCAGAACCCTGCACTCCAGGCCAGCACGTTGTGGTCTAATTCATAGTTGCACTGCACAGCCTAGGGAATAACCCTGTCATGGAAAGACAACCCTTCCCTCTAGCTCTGGGAGCAGGGGGCATTCTAGCATGTCAGGAGAGGCCAGAGGGCATTGTGGGTACAGGAGGCCTGAGTTCTCACAAGATCTACAGAGGCAATAGAGAATCAGAGCAAGTTAGGGAGCTCTCAGAGCTGCCTTAATTTTCACTTGGGGCCCTACTGGCTCCTAATAACCTCAGAATGCAACTTTTTTTCCCCCTCCAACCTCTGTGCTGGGCTCCTTATTGCCACAAGTATGAATCGGGGCTTGTGTATATAATGTCTTGGTTCAGTGGCTATCATCCTGGGGAGAAGTTAAATCTACTTCTCCACTAGCATCCATTTGTTGATTGGCAGCAATAATTCCTAATAGCACACTAAAGCTCTTTCACCTTTATGCACAGTATATGTAGATGGTACTAGGTGATAGAGGCAGACACATCTCTATTTCTCTTATCTGTTGAATTTCTAAGGAGACCGTCACCCAATTGTATCCTTTGGTATATATGGTTGTGACTACTTTCTTCCACTATTTGATCTGAGGAAGTGGGTCTGGCCCACGAAAGCTCATCATCTAATAAACCATCTTGTTAGTCTTTAAAGTGCTACATTGTCCTGCATTTTGCTTCAACCCTTTTACCAGTGATGATTAGCACACTGATTCTTTAACACTGTAGTAGGAAGCAAGGCAGGAAGGCAGATTCTGTGCAGAAGCTCAAATATGAAGCAGAGAGATTCACAGCACAGTTGGAAGGATAATACTATTTTCCTTATTCTAATAAAGTTCCTTGTTCAGCTTTAGAAGGAAACATCTATGTGAACATGTACCATGCCAATGCCCAGGCAATTTTCACTCACAGCGTGTAGTACTCTAGGAAGAAGATGTACAATCTAGCCAACTACCTAATAGTTTGCTTTTCACTCTAGTAACAGGTGCGCTTAGCGTCCCACTAGACTGGAGAAGTGGTTCTCCATCTAATTGTCACTACAGGTTGCATGTGCAATGCTGCATGTGTTATGTGGGCCACATCCACACCACACAACATATACACTACGTCTGCGTCTAGATTGGCATGATTTTCCAGAAATGCTTTTAATGGAAAAGTTTTCCATTAAAAGCATTTGCAGAACAGAGCGTCTAGATTGGCACAGACGCTTTTCTGCAAAAAAGCCCCGATCGCCATTTCCGCAAAAAAGGCCCGATTGCCATTTTCGCGACTGGGGCTTTTTTGTGGAAAACAAATCTGAGCTGTCTACGCTGGCCCTTTTGCGCAAAAGCGTTGCGCAAAAGGGACTTTTGCCTGAACGGGAGCAGAATAGTATTTCCGCAAGAAGCACTGATTTCTTACAGTAGGAAGTCAGTGCTTTTGCGGAAATTCAAGTGGCCAGTGTAGACAGCTGGCAAGTTTTTCCGGAAAAGCGGCTGATTTTCCGGAAAAACTGGCCAGTCTAGACACAGCCTACCTGTGTGGGCCTGAAGCTGTCATGTGACTGGAACTGTGTGTTGACTGGACCGCAAGCAGGCTACCGATTGAGAACCACTGCCTTAGAGCTTTGAAAGTCCCTTTGCTCCACCAGAGCACATGTATACACAGAAGTGCATCTGCTGACTGATTTTCACTGACAATATGTAATTTCCATCAGGATCACTGGGAAGAACGTAAACAAATCCTGCCTCTGCAGCAGAGTTTGCTTTTCTCACTAGTAGCAGGAGCTCACAGAGCCAGTGCTAGGGATAAGCAAGACTAGGAATAGCTAGGGCCCCAAGAATGCAATAATGAGTCGTGTTTTGGGGGGGGGGTCCCATAAAATTTTCCTGCTTAGGGACTCCAATGGGGCTAGCACTGCCTCTGGGAGCTTCTGACGCCCCACTACAGCCCTTTTCACTTCTAAGTCCTTATTCACATTTAATGAATTATATATGTGACAGTGCCAAGTACACCAATCAGTCCCCCCAAAATCATAAAATGGCTTTAAACATCATGAGATTAAAAAAAAACAGAAATATGTAGGCTTCAATTTTCTGTCTCCTCTTTGGCTGTTGCTGTTCACATTTTTCAGCATTTCCTGGCAATTATGGGTATGTCTACACAGCAGGGCAAAAGCTGAATTAAGCTATGCATCTTGAGCTATGTCAATTACATAGCTGAAGTCAAAGTAGCTTAATTCAGCTTTTGGCACTGTCTACACAGCAGGAAGACAAAGGAAGAGCAGTCTTCCTTCCACTTGCCTTACTCCTGGTGACATGAGGGTTACAGGAGTCAAAGTAAGTCCTCCAGCTGGACTTTATTTCGAAATAACGGCTTGTAGTGTAGACACGCTCTTTGTTATTTCGGAATAACATCAGTGATTCCAAAATTGCTGCTGTGTAGAGGTACCCTAGGAGAGGTAGATGCCTGTCAGTTGTCTTTAAAAAAAGGTGAGATTCCCATGTAATCACTTGCCTCCAGGAGCTGAGGCTTTTAAGACAACCCCCAAATATCCAAAGACTTCTCAAAAAAATGGTGAGAGCTGGCAGTACTGAATGCATCCAGAGGTAGAACTCCTCATTTACTGCCATTTGCAGCGTGTAATTTCCACTGGGAGAGAAGAAATCAAGCTGCCCCTGCCTTTGCTAACTTGCAGCAGTAGCGCTTAACATCCCACCAGAGCCCAGATCTTTCTTATTCTCCATCCCCGTGTATGTATATTTAATACCACTCCTGCTTTACGGTCATTTTCATTTGCACTCTAATTTCCGCAGGGAATCAGTGGGGAGCCAGACCGTGTACAATACTGCGTTAGCAGCTGGGCTTGCTGTTCCCACAAGCAGCAGGAGTTCCTAACAGCGCGGATCCCTCCCCACCTCTCCTGTCTCTTGCACTGAGTCATTTCCAATGAGCTCGCTCTGGGGAGCAGGTAACTACGCCCGCTCCTGCTGCTGCGTTTGCATTTCTGCCTAGGCAGCGGATGCAGCAGCAGCAGCAGCAACTCCGGAGCCAGGGCTCTCGCAGCTGTGATGTGGCAGCGGCAGGTCGGATCACGTTGCGAGCCCTGTGCGCGTACCAGCTCGAGACAGGATTAAGGAGGAGGCTTTTAGGTGCCAGTGGTAGTAAACGTGGGCTGCGCGCACACATCCTGCGCTCATTATCAGCCTTAAGAGGAAAGTGTGTGTGTGTGCCGGGAGAAGGGAGGGGGAGGGGGACAGGAGAAGCACGTACCACCAGCCCCCCCTCCCTCCGAGCAACGGACTTTCACAGGGGTGTGATTTCATTTCAGTGCCACGCCTCTCCCAATGTCACCCTCTCTCGCGCCGCCTCCCCCTGGAAACTCCCTTGCCACAGCGGTGCGGTCTGTGACAGTCATACAAGCACTCGAGCCCTCCCCGGGTGTGCGCCTAGAGACACCAACCCGCGGCAGTCGGTAGCCTCGACTTTCCGGGAGCTCCTGCTTCTTTCGGAAGGGCGAGGTGAAGCG